GGGGCACCTAGCCCTCCCGATGCTGTGGGCAGGGAGCAGAGGTCAAACTTCCAGGAAAGGCCAAGTGGTGCTTAGAGAAATAAGTGAGAAGGCTAAGGCCAGGAGGTTGGATGCAGAAAAAATGTGTACCCTCACTCAGACCTCCTTTGCCGTGTGGCCCCAAACCTCAACTCCTGTCCTGCTGACTGTTGTCCCCTGACCTCCTAGCTTGGAATAACTGCGGAAGCGGCACCACAGACCTTGCTCCCTGCCTCTGCCAAGGCCTGGCCTCAGCCTCCATTTCCCCGCCCCTGCTCACCTCCCGATTGCAGCCGCCGCCGCCGCTGCTGGTGTAGGGCTCCTAGGGCGGGTTCCGGACTCCTCCAATCTGGGGGCTGAGCCAGGGTCCCGGACAGGGACTCGCGCCAGGCTGGCCAGGTCCCCGGCGGTGCGGGAGGGGTGGGGAATCCCGGGGGATCCCGGGAAGGGAGGGGGTCCCGGGCCGGGAGCCGGGGGTGGGGTCCGGCACCGGAGCTTTCAGTTTGTTCCGCTGTTTGAAATTGGCGCCGGCGGAGCGTTGCGGTCACGTGACGGAGCGTCGCCAATCGGCGCCGGCCCTTGTCTACGGGTTCCGGACTCGAATACCGTGGAGTCCTGATCGGAGTTGCGGCCGGGGACCCTGCTGGCGGGGTAAGAGGGGCCGCAGGCTGGCTGGAGGGGAGCGAGCGACTGTGGGGTGAAGGGTGGCGGTGGGAGGCCTAACAGGAATAAGAGAGGGGACCCCGCGATTGGGGTCGGAGCGGAGAGATTGTGAGGGACGCGGGAAGATGGTGGTGACTGGAACATGGCCCCTTCGGCCTTCTTTCTTCTGCTTTCCCACTTTCTACTCTACCTCCCCTTCGTGATTTTCATCCCTTCTTTAAAGGGCTATTTTAGTTGATTTCTTCATTAGGGGAAATTGCACTCCACTCACATTCAATTAACGATCGTTTAGTACTCCGGACTAGACCGAAAGTTCTCAGAGGGCAGCATATAAGATTGTTCAAGTTTCTTCCACTTAAAAACAAAAAACACCAGAGGCACACAACATGAATTCTACTTCAAATGTTAACTACTGACCTGTGTCTCTCCACCCTCAGCCAACCTCTTTGATATAATGGACTAAAGTGCTTTACTTACTAACTTACTCAACAAATGTTTGTTGATTACCTGTTATGTGCCAGGCACTGCCCTCGAGATACACTGGCAGAGAGTGTATCCTTCCCCTGAGTTTCCAGACTAATTGGGAAGGGGAGATGGCATCCCAGACATTATCAAATAAACAAATGTAGATTTATAGCTGTGGCACAGTAGAGGTAATGATACTTTGAATATCTATAATAAGGAGATCTTGAGTTAGGTAGGCCAGGAAAGGGTTTTTTGTTGAACTGCAGCTTGACGTGAGATCTGATGGCTTTATGCAAGAAAGGGAGGGATGCCCTCTAAGCAGAGGGTGAGAGTAATGTGACTGGAGGAAGCTTGGTGAGTACAAAGGCTGTGAATATCTACACCTATTCCTCACTTACCAACTATTGTTATTGGACATTTCAAATTTACGACAATAGTAAAAATATCTGACTATTTTGTGCATTAGCGATTTACATCTGGCAGTAATGAGCGGGAGGTGCTAGGTGACAGTAATACTAGTTTGATGGTTAAAGTTTGTGTGTCAGCTTGGCCAGGCCATGATTCTCGGTGGTTTGGCATTACGTAGTGATGTAATTTGGCGGTTATGTACTGATATAATTTGGCAGTTATGTAATAATATTATTTAACAGTTATGTAATGATGTCGGGAGAAAGGTTGGGCAATCTGCTTCCGTAGTGATACCACCTCGGAAACCCAAGGAGGGGTAGCAATGAGTTGGATCTGACTCAATGGCAGTGACTTTGGTTTTTTGGTTTTGGTAATAATGTAATCTATCAATTATGTAATGATGTAGTCTCCCCCCATTTTGTGATCTGATGTGGTCATCCTCCATATTCACATAATGCCAATTTTCGCATAATGGTTTGGTCTCTGGAATCTAACCATATGTGAGGAATGGGTGTATATCTGAGGAGTTTGAACTAACAGACCTGAATGGAGTGTGATGTGAGATGAAGCTGGAGCCATAGAAAGCAGAGCCTAGCTATACTGTTATGTCCTTATTCAAGAGCTAAAGGAAGCCAATCAAAAATTTTAAGAAGTGAATAATGGTCAGACTTGCATTTTTTAAAGGTCACCCTGGAGCAGGACCAGAGTGTATTATGGTAGATTAGAGTGGATTAGGGTAGTTAGGCTGTTTTGATATTCTATGGAAGAATTGTTGGAAATTGGTGGGGTAAGGGTGGGGTGTGTGTGAAGATAGTGGGGAAAGGCAGAAAGATTATTGAAGACTGTTTAAGACAGAAAATTGGCAAGATTTGTTGCTGGGTTGGATGGAGGAGGTGGGAGAGGGAAATGTCAAGGTTGTGTCTGCATAATTGGATGAGCTAGGGCCTTGGACGTAGGGGGAGATGATTTTAGTTTTAAGCATAATGAGTTTGAGGTACATTTGAGACATCAAATTGCTGTCAAGTAGGCATTGAGTATATGGGTCCTGAGCGGAGAGAATTCTAAACCGAATGTGTGGAATATGTGGAAATTAAAATGTGAGTGGATGAGATTACCTAAGAAGGGTGTAAAATTATAGGTGGAGGGAAAGGCCTTAGGTTGCAGAAGGGACTGACAGCTCCTCTAAGCTGAAAGAAAGAGGATGGATGGAGTTATACACAGGTTTGTGTGTTTGATTTCTGGGAAATGAGGTATTCTCTTTGGAGGCTTCTGTATTCTTTGTGAAGTAGGAAGCAAGGTCATCTGTTGAGAGAATGGGAGTTCAGAAGTTTTTAGCAAGTGGAAAAATTTAAGATAATTTTTGTGGAGAGTTGATCGGTAGGATTACTGGACAAAGTAGTGGGCCCATTTGAGCATGGTAACTTTCAGCAGGTTGTTATTTCAACACTTAAACTTTAGTCATTGCTACCATTATCTCCATTATTTCTTCATTGGACTCCTGGACTCCTGGCCTTTTCGCTGGACTCCCTGCTTCCTTTCTCCATCCCTCTCCCCATCCAGGCTTTTCTAACAAATTGCCTGGAGTTATCTTTTAAAACTCTAAATCAGATTATGTCACTTTCCTGTCCTGAACCTTTCAGTGACTTCCTTTCACACTAAGGATAAAATCCAATCCTAGCCTACAAAGTCCTGTGTCTATCACTTTTATTTTCCCCCCTTCATTCAGGACATTGCTCAAATGTTGCATCTTCAGATAGGCCTTCCTTGACAATTTGGTCTAAAATAACACCCAGTCAGCTCAACCCCTTATCCTGTTTGATTTTTGCCTACTTGTCACTTCCCACTGAAAAATGAAACTGCTATTTTAGAGTGAAGCAGCATGAGGGCAGAGATTTTATACTGTTCTCTGGTGTTTATTTCCAGCACCTTGGTAAGTATTTGTTGAATGAATGATTGAACAAATGGATATATTTATTACTTGTGTTCTCTCTAAAATGTTGGTTTCATGAGGGTAGGTAGGGACTTTGGCTCCCCCCCAACACCTTTTTTCCTACTTCCCCTATCTGTAGCTCCACTGCCTAGTGACATAAATCAGATCTTGTTAAGTTTTCAACTTATGAATTGTATAGTGGAAACAGTCTGCTCTGTTGTGTTGCCTTTTATTACTTTCTGGTCCTCTTGGCCTTACCTCTCTCTCCATCCTCCCATCACTACTGACATAGCTCAGGTTCAGACCCTCATGATTTCTCTCTTAGGTGACACAGTAACCTCCTGACTGGTCCCTCTGTTTCCAGGGTACTTATCCCTCCCTCTCCTATTGTCACCAGATGATCTGTCTAAAACACAAAAACAAAAAGACACAATTAGGGCATTTTTGAGACAGTTGAAAATTTGAAAGCTGGCTGTCTGGATATTTGATGGTATTAAGGAATTAATATACATATAATAATTACATTAATGTAAATGATAGAATGACTGAGAACATTCTATTTGCCTCAAAATAATGTAGTGTTGGAGCAAATGGATAGGAGTGTGGATGGGTCAGGATTGGCCATGAGTTGATGTCTGTTGGACCTGGGTGATGGGTACATGGGGCTCAATAGAGCTCATTATGTCATTCAGTCTACTTATGTATATGTTCAGAATTATCTGGGGTAAAAAGTTAAATGGGGGAAGGAGCCAAATGTGATCATATTATTCTTCTGCTTGAAAATCTTGAGTGACTTGTCAGGCTAAAGTCCAAGCTCACATGGCTCTATTGATTTTTCTGATCTGACCCTGGCTCCACATCCAGCCTCAGTTCTTGCCATTCATCTTATACCTTGTGTCTGGCTCTACTGATATTCTTGTTCCCTGAATTCACAATACTCCATGCCTCTGTGCCTTTGTATATGCTGTTCCTCGGCTAGAGTGCCCTCCCAGCATCTTTGTTTCTCCTATCCTTTCCATACTTAAGTCAGGTATCTCTGTCTCCTGGAAGTCTCCACTAAAGAGAGTGGAAGCATTCTTCTTACATGGTATTGTAATCTTCTGTCTCCTCACTGTCTCTCAGCTCCTTGAAGGCAAGGGCATCTGACCTTTGTATCCTTAAAAGTGCTTGGCACTCAATAAATACTTGCTGAACAAATGGTTATTCTTTTAATTCCCACCTCCCAGCATGGTGCTTAACATGTGTTCTATAAATGTTTACAGAATGAATGTTGTTGAATATGAACTACTGTGTGTTTGTGGTGGGGTAGGTGTAGGAAGCTATGTTCCCTACAGTCTTGAAGTGGGAGTAAGTATTTTATGGTGGAATTAGCTAGCAGAGCTAGGGAATAATCTGAATTATTTTTCGCTCAGCTTTTGTTTCTTCTCTGCAGGCATGAGTTGGAATCAGAGCCTATCGCCCCATCTGATTGCAGCCAGCATCATGTGGTTACTAATTACTCTTCATTCACCTATTAATGCCTCCCAGAAAAAAACGCAGTCTGCGTTCTCAGAAAGCCCCGCTGCTATTCCACCAACAACCACTGAAGGACCCCAAACACCACTATGGAACTCCACAGCTTCCTATCAGCCACACTAGACAGGTGCCCAGCAAGCCCATTGACCACAACACCATCACTTCCTGGGTAAGCCCATGGTGTTCTTACTTTGACTTTTACTCTCTTAGGCGTCTCAGAATGCTGAGTCTTCTGGCCTTGAACCAAAAAATAAGATTCATGGCAGGAGGTCGTATACTATTTTTGTCTCTGGTATATTTCCTTTTCTCCTTTCAGATTGAGGTATGAATTACTTGGAATTGGAACCTTTCCGCCCACATTCCTTTGAAAGAATTCATTATAAAAGTTTCACTACCTAGTAGTGGGGTGAGAAAGCCAGATACATGACAAGACAAGTGAACAATGAGATTGTACCTTGAGCTTCATGTGAGAAGTATTTAGCTAGGTACTCTAGTTACTATTTAAGGGATTGAGCCTTGAAAAAAAAAAAACCCACAGAAATGATATATATCATTTTACCAGTTTAAGAACTCTAGGAACAGGGTATAGCTTCTATATGACAGGGAAGTAGTATAGCAAAAGGACCATATAAAAGCTTAAGCTCTGCTTAAGAGTGCTTACTAAATATAACTTGTTCAGGACTGCTGAAGAGCCGTAATACTTGCTTCAGGATTGTAGAAGAAACTTAAACATTAGAATCCTGTGGATGAGCACAGGAATGTACGTGTATTAAGTACTTATTCTGTGCCAGGCCCTATGTTCATTGTTAAACATACATGATCTCATTTCCTTATTCTTGTATTCAGCTATTTATTTACTGAGGGTTTTCTCTACTAGGCACTCTGGTAGGTGCTAGGGGCCCCTGGTGAACAAGACAGCTAGTCCTTGCCCTCATGAAATGTAAAGAGAGATGGTTAAACAAGTTGCAGTTGTATGATGTGATGAAGTGGAAGAGACATTGTCTCCTTTATTGTACATGAGGAAACCGAAAGCCAAAGAGATTGAATAATTGTCCAGAGCTCTGTTAGTGTCTCATTAGACAGCTCTTTTTGTTTCTGCATACTTTTCTGTAGTTGTCCTGCGTTCAGAATTCTGGTTATTTGGTGTAGTTTTCTGAATGTATTTACCTCTGGTTTTGACTTAGTAGTTGGCTCTCCTTACCCTTTTTTTCTTTTTTTTAAATCCTTAGGTATTGCCTCAGTTTGATGCCACAGCAGAAAGCAGTTTCCAAGTATACCGGAAACGTCCTCACCGAGGCCAGGCAAAACATTCCAGTCGAAAATCTGCCACCTCCAAGTTTCCACATCTAACCTTTGAGAATCCACAGTCTTCTTCCAATTCAACAACATTGGGGATCCCCTTAACCGAGGAGTGTCCCAATCAATCAGAAAATAGCATTTCCAGAAGGCCCTTAGTTCCATTGCTCAGTCCCCGAAGCTGTGGAGAACTGTCAGTACATACACTTCAAAGCCCACCTTGTGTGTTCATTTCACCTGATATCCAGACTCCAGAGTCGTCTCCTGTGAAGGAAGACCCCATTCCCTCAGATCAGAGGGAAAATAGCCTTCCAAGATGCTCCCTTCATACTAGTACTCCCAAGAGCCTAGAGCCTGGCCCTGTTCTGGTTAAAGACACTCCTGAGGAGAAGTATGCGATAAAGGTTACCTGGAGGAGAAGGCAGCACCTGTTGGCTTGTCTCAGGGAAAGAGGGAAGCTGAGCAGAAGCCAGTTCCTTGTGAAGAACTGACATCAGCCTCTCCCTTTATTAAGAAGAAACTCAAGAACTTAGCTGCTGGTTTTCATAAAGTTGCTAAAGTCACTTTACAGGCTCATAAGAGAGTATATTGATAGAATAAAATGGAAATAACACCAGTAGGAGAAAGATGATGTTTTAACTAGAGCCCTGGAATCATAAGGGAATTCAATTCCCTGATTTGCTTTTTAAGATATATGGTGTCATAAACAGTTCACTTCATATTTTTCTTGTATTAACTCTTTTAAATTTCTTGTACTAACAAAATATATGTAAATAAATGGTTAGTAGAAAGTTTTTAGAGAACCCTACTTTTTACTGTCAATGCAGCAATACTGCCCTGTCCACAAAAGGTCTTTCTTGTTTCCTTTAACTACTACTTAACTAATCTTACAGTCATCTCATTCAAACCAATTCATTCTGCATTTCTGATGACTAACTCTGTGTCAGGCTCAGTGCAGCTTCCTCTGTGACCTGATGGACAGAAAAGAATTAGCACTCTGTGACTTGTTATGGTTGAATTGCTGCCTCTGCAGCCTTGGTTCATCTCTGGACAGGGCAAGATAAAGAAAGGGGAGCAAGCCCCATTGTAGTGAATTCTATGGGACTGGGAGAGAGGGGACATAGATAAGCTACTTAAGTTTGCTTGTGTTTCAACTTTTTGTTCCCAAAGAAATCTGTAAATGCTAAATAGGATAGGAAAATGATTTCCTGTGGTAACGGTTTAAAATGTGTGTAAATAAATGCAGAATGTTTTCAGGGAATATTACTTGTATATAGTGCAGAAGGACTGTCCAGTTAACAAAATATCTCAATTGTCCTTTACCCATATGTGGTAGTTACGGTTGTGTGTAAACTAGGGGCCAGGTTTTGAGTGGCTGGACAGCTGGATGTAGTGATTCCCCATGATGAAACTATTAATCATCTCCATGGTGGAATCTGCTGTGAGCAGCTGAGTAGTTGCCTTAGGGATGTTGCCTGCTTCCAGTATATAAGAAGACAGCTTTGAGAAAGGTCTTGGAGCTTTTTGGCGTGCTTGGACCCTGCATGTAGCTGAGTCTTCATTCAGCAGTCTCCCATATTGCCTGCCAATCTTGGGTCTGTTTCTGGACTTGAACTAGTGGCCTGCTGTGTTACTTAATAATCTTGGGACCTTGCCATTTTATTTGTTGGCCTTGGGTTTGTTGGCCTCAGTAGCCAGCAGTTGCCTGAGTTAAGGGAAGCCTCCAGCTCCAGTGGGCTGGGGACAAGAGCAGAGCTGAAGCCCAAGGCTGAGGGGCCTTTACCCAGCCCCTAAAGCTGGCACTTTGAACTTGGACTTTCTAGCCTCCTAAACTGTGAGAGAATAAATCGATTTGTTTAAGTATCCATTTGTGGTATTTTCTGTTAGAGCTGCCCTAGAGAACCAATACACTATACAAATATCTCATTCTATCTCATTTATTAAGAACCTACTTAATAAATGTGTCAGGTCCAGCCTGAGGTAGACCAAGTAGGGATTATTCTGCTTATTTTATAGATGGGAATTTGAAGCGCAGAGAATGAATCGTGTTCAGTCACATAGGGAATGGAGGCTGACCCAATGAATTCAATGTCCTGCAGTCCTAGTTTATGGCAAGTTTTTTTTTTTTTTTTTTAATTGTGATTTGGGTGAAAGTTTACAGAGCAAATTCATTTTCCATACAGCAGTTCACATACACTTTGTCTCATGACATCAACTACAATTTACCCCAATGAAACAGCTCCCCTCCCACTTTTTCCTGATAGTTACCTCTTCCCTGTATCCATCTCTCCATGCATTCCTGCCCCTGGAGCTGTCTCCCTGTGCATAAACAGCCCTTCTTTCTCCCATGATTGTTCTCTCTAAGGAGTGTATCTACCTCAGGTAAATGTTCAACTCATATGCCTGTCTTCTGTTTGGCTGGAAGCCACAGGTGTGGGTTCAGTTTCAGGTGTGAAGGGCAGCTAGGGGCCATAGTCTCAGTGGTTCCACCAGGCTCTATCAGGCTAGCAAACCTGGTCCCTTTTTTTTTTTTCCCAAATGATTTTGAGTTTTGTTCCACATTGTTCTCCCTCTCTATCTAGGATCTCCTACATAGATCCCCCTCCGAGTTGTTGACAGTGGTAGTGGGGCACCATCTAGTTCTTATGGTCTCATAGTTGCATAGGCTGAGAATCACACTGTGTACCAGTCGCTTGGACTAATTGTTTCCATACACCTTTGGTTTTCTTCATTATTCTTTGCTCTGGAAGAGGAGAGACCCATTGTTGCATCTAGTTGGCTGCTTACAAGCTTTTAAGATCCCAGTTGCTCGCTACTCGCCAAAGTAGGAGGTGGAACAATGTTTTGTGTAGTATGTTATGCCAATTGAGCTTGATGTCTCCTGAGACCATGGTCCCAAGCCCACAGGTTCAACTACTCGCTCCCTCTGGGTAGCTGGCTGTGATGAAGAAGTGACTACAACCTTGTCCCTTGTCAGTTCTGTACACCTGGGAATTCTTACAGAATATACAAATACACTTGTAGAAATAGTTAATGGCAAGTTTTATACTGCTTAAAAAATCAGCTTCTGGATTGAAAACTAATGTGGAGACAACTTTGACCTTGGAATGCAATCAACAATTCACTGCAGTAATTTTTTGTTAGGATATTCTGTTGTTGTTATTTGCCGTGGAGTCGGCCCCGACTCATAGCGACCCCTCCTCCTTGGGTTTCCGAGGCAGTATCACTACGGAAGTAGGATTGCCCAACCTTCCTTCCGAGGAGTGGCTAGTGGGTTTGAACCGCCAGCCTTCTGGTTAGCAGTCAAGTGCCTTAGACACTATGCTACCAGAGCTCCTAGGATATTCTGTAGGGACTTTATAAGTTAGTGGTGAGAAAGGAACTGATGGTTTGGGACATTTATTGAAAATGAAGAGACAAATTTAGTTGATCCCATGATGGAATGTGGATGTTTGAAGATGAGCCATAAGCTGTGGAGAAAAGGGAACAGAGGGAAAAGGTTCTTTGGGTGCTGGGTGTTTTTTAGGAGAGTTTGTAGAGAAGGGCTGGAGTAGCGGAGGCAGAAGAGACCAGGTAAACTATATGAAAGATGCATTTAATTGGGGATTAATGCTAGAGACTGTACGTGAGTGGTTCCAAGGAAGGCTTCTGGAATCAGGAAGGGCCGGATAGTGAGGAGCCAGCTGATGTCTGTAAGTTTGCGTTACAGACCTCTGGAAACGCTATGGGTGGTCCCGGGGAACAAATGGCAGGAGTGGGAGAAAGCCACTGAGTGACTGGCGGTTAGTGGGGGATGGGAGGCTCCCCAAAGAGACTCGCATCCCGGCCGGGGCGAACACATCCTTCCGCCCTCAGACGCACAGCTCCAGGGGACCAAATCCGGGCGTCATCTCCCCACTTCAGCGCAGGCGCCTGTAACTCCCGGGTTCTTCCCACCCCTTAGAAACCCTCCCGCATCGCAGTGTGGTGGCAATAGCCAATGAGATGGGAGCGATGGACACATGGGCCAATAGGCGGTAGTGACAGTGCGGGGTGTGGTTGCCAGGGGGCAGGGTCCGGCTTTCTGCCAGACTTGCCACCCTAGCAGCGGCGTCCAGGGGTCTGGAAGAGGTTGCAACTAACTGAGCTGCGGGGGATGGAGGCGTCGCGCTACCGTCTCGGGCCCGGCGGGGACAGGTCAGAGGGGGATGGTGGCTGGTCTGCTCACTTGAGTGGGGCAGAGGGACAAAGTTACAACGTGGAAGACCTGTCTAGGAGCTCCGCGGGGAGAGGGCGGTGGGCTCCGGTCAGGAAGGGAGGAATTGATTTTGCGGCCGCAGGCATTCCCTGTTTCCCACTCCGCTGTGGAATTACCGTGCTTTTTAAAGGTGGGTGGTAGGGAGCAGCAGCTCTGCAGCCTTAATCGTGAGCTGAGACTTTTGTTCAGGTCACTGCTTAGGAAACTCTTATACTTTTCGTTACGAACTGTCTTTGCTCTCTCTGGGCCTCAGTTTTCCCCAATTTAAAATGCATTAGTCCTGTTCCTTACGCACTGCTTTGTAGTAGCATAACGGAGATTGGATGCGGTCTTTGCCGAAGCTGTCGAAGCAGAAGGTTGTGGGTCATATTTAATAGTTTGCACTAATGCCGATTGCTTTTGGCGGGCTGTATTGAATTCTGGAACTGCGTCCGAGAGCTGACAACACTATTCTTTTTCTTATATCCGCTTTCTAGAAGTTATCTCTTATTCAAGGTTGTTTATGTTATTGCGAAATTACCATACCCCTTGTTTGTACTGTTCTCCCTTCCATGCCTGTTTTTCTGCCTCCGCAAGAGGGAGAACCTGGAAAATAAAACGGTCCGAGATCTCAACCTGTCAACTCTGTTAGCCAAGTTAATGAGCCTGTGAAATCAGTGGCTTAAAACTTTGGCATCGTCTGATAATTTAAATCACACAGGCTAACCACATTTCCCACTTTTCATTACGTTACCACACCAAATGAAGATTTGACTGGTAGCTTTAGACTAGTAAATATTTAAATAATTCTAAACCATTTTTAGAAATTGTCACACAAGAGATATTGGAGTAGACAACACCCTTTTTCCTTTTCCATCAAGTTCTGCTTAACTGAACTCTGAAATTTGTTCACTGCGCTTTTTTTGCTCAGGTCGAGAGAAAAAAATAATCCACATTTACAAATATAAATATGGGTGTGCTGAAGGGAAGTGGAGTTAATATTCAGCTTTTCAGGTTGAATTCAAATGATACTTGTTCAGTTTTGACACTCGATAAATCTTAACTGGGTAAATTTAAGGCAGTAAATTACATGGTTACCGAATGTTTGATATGACTCATGATTTTTTTTGAAAAATGGAATTGACTTTGAAATTGGGACCAGGAGCAAAATGGTTTTTAACTTACTGGACCTGAAGTCTAAAGGGATGATTTAAAAATTTTTTTTTCCCCTTTCCTTACCAAAGAAACCAACTGTTTAATTTTTAAAATTGACAT